ATGAATTTCATTGACTCATATATCTATTGAAGATAGTAGCAAGAACGTGTCAATATTATTAATTACTTATTTACAACTAATAACAGACGAAAGGGCAACAGATCACTTATCTTTCCATTTGAATCATTTGAAATCGAATGAAATGCTTTGTTTCCTGAAACTTTTTTCTGGTTTAGATCAAAGCTTATTCAACCGAGTTCTTCCACTTGAATAAAATTCTGTTCATTCAGAGTATAGCTACAATTACGAAAAATCTTACAGAAATAAAGTCTATTTATTTCTAGTTAAAGTCTCCAATTTTATGAAGTCATTTCTCTTCGAGATAACAAGGGTTATTGATAAACTTATTGATTGATAAAAATGTCTCAAATTAACTTTTTCTCTTAAATATTATGAGGGTTGACACATTAAAAAGGGTTTCCAATTTTCTAAAACAAGGTTATAACACATAAAGTAATAAAACTAGTATCAAAATGAAGTCTATTTGTTTCTGTTCAAAATAACGAAAGAGATTGATAAAATATTTGTTTGTTTTTTTCTTGGCGACGTATTAACATCCTCATGGGTCATTGAATGCCGAAATTTAATTTTCTGGCGAGAATTAGTAATTTTTTTTTCAAAAATGTATTACTATTAATAATTTTTTTTACTAAAATATATTGCTGGTAATATTTTTTATATTTTTCAAAAATGTCTGTCTGGTAATTTTTTTACTATGAAAATCTATTTCTGGTATTTTTACTATAAAAATATATTTTAATACTTTCATTGTGTTTTGAATCCAGTTTGGGAGTTAACTATTTACCCATAGCTAAGACCCTAATAGGTGGTACCACCCCTGAGAACAGCAATTAAGAGGTGGTTTCACGCTCCTCAAAGCCTTACTATCAGAGGCCTTGCTGCCACTTGTAGTTTATCGTCATACCCAGGATTATTGTTAAAACGTCCCTAATCATATAAAACTAGTTTAACTATATAGAATAATGAAATTGATATCAAAATTAAGTCAATTTATTTCTCTTTCAAAATTATGAGGGTTGACTTATTAAAAAAGATCTCCAGTCTTAGAAAACAAGTAGGAATGATGAAACTGGTATCAAAATAAAATCCGTTTCTTTTCAAATTGACGAAGCTAGATTGATAAGTCTCTAGGCCTATAAAGCCAGTTTTAAGCCGATAGAATGATGAAACTGGTATCAAAAGGATGTCTATTTATTTCTCCTCAAAGTTACATGTTTATTTTTAAACATATTCAATATTTAGAAACATACGTTTTCCAAACGTTCTATCAACTTTTTCATTTGATGAAGAAAGTTTCTAATTCGTCTTTTATTCACTTGCAACCTTCAACTTCAACAATGTATTTTAAAAAAAATGCTGCAATTTCAATGACTCAATTTCGGGACGATCAAAAAATCTGCTACTGTGATATCAGGGTTGTAAGGAGGGTGAACAGCAATTATGAATTTGAAGATTTGCACCGTTATTGATTGCAATAAAACCTTGTAATAGACTAATGCAAATAGTGTTGCCTTGTCCGGTATTATTCTACAAAGGAGGCATGAACCGAAACAAACGTACGGTATCTACATCTTAGTATCAGATAGTTTGCGGTATGTGTTTTTCTCACCATTTTAGGTTAACTTTGTAGAAAAAGAACGAAGATCATTTATTTGCTATAAAATATGTCCAGGATAATACCCACAACTGCAATATTTGATTACGGTAGTTGGGTCGTATTACACACGAGCTATATAAAAACTTCAGATTCCTCAGAAAAAATTCTGGGGTTGCACTCTACCTGTAGTAGACTTATACACGAGTATATAAGGTATGCACAATTTTCCATTTTCATGGCGGAACAGAAGATGAGACAGTGAAACATCGAAAAAAAAAGATAAGGAAGAAGAGAGGGCTACGCTTATCCATCAGTCTTTTTTTTTTTTGTGTTTTTCTTTCTCATTTTTCATTACTATTTCTCATTCTAAGTTAGTTGTCAGGAATCTAAAGCAGTGAGATGTCTTGGATCAATTATCAGTGAAGAAAGATCCAGAAGAAAAATAATTTCAAGAAAAGCGGTTATCGTAAAACTAAGAACAATCTGGAAAACAAGAACATCTGCCTAAAATCAAAGACCAGACTGTTGCGTATATTGGCAAATTCAATCATTTAAGGACACCTTTGAATCTTGAACATTAACATCAGAATTACCACAACGAATCCAAGTATCAGAAATGAAAGATCCAAGGTTTCTCCAACGTCGACCACATCATACATGGCATAGTGCGAGGCGTCATCAAAAAAGAAACAGGTCTATTAGAAGAAATCATAATCAGTGTTGGGTTTTTTCTGGTTTTTTTTTCGTAGTTTTTTTTTTTTTTTTTTTTCTTACTGTAACTTTTTATTGATTTTAAAAACGCATTAAGTTTTTATTATCTCTACTGGAATTATTTTCAGTTTTGGTTTGTTTTACGGGATATCAATCTCTTCCAGATTATTTATGCCGAGTTTTATCATTTTGATAAATAATAGAAAGTTAGATATCGGTTTAGCTTGCACAAGAGTCAAAAGGGTAGACATGTGTTTGGCTAATACGACAGCCAAAACGGTAGATATGGGTTTGGCTAATACGACAGTCAATAGGGTAGACATGGGTTTGGCTAACACGACAGCCAACAGAGTAGACATGGGTTTGGCTAATACGACAGACAAAAGGGTAGACATGGGCTTGGCTAATACGACAGACAAAAGGGTAGACATGGGCTTGGCTAATACGACAGACAAAAGGGTAGACAGGTGTTTGGCTTATACGACAGACAAAAGGGTAGACATGGGCTTGGCTAATACGATAATCAAAAGGGTAGACATGGGGTTGGCTAATACGACAGACAAAAGGGTAGACAGGTGTTTGGCTTATACGACAGACAAAAGGGTAGACATGGGCTTGGCTAATACGATAATCAATAGGGTAGACATGGGCTTGGCTAATACGACAGACAAAAGGGTAGACATGGGCTTGGCTAATACGACAGACAAAAAGGGTAGACATGGGCTTGGCTAATACGACAGACAAAAAGGGTAGACATGGGTTTGGCTAATACGACAGTCAAAAGGGTAGACATGGGCTTGGCTAATACGACAGACAAAAGGGTAGACATGGGCTTGGCTAATACGACAGACAAAAGGGTAGACATGGGCTTGGCTAATACGACAGACAAAAGGGTAGACATGGGCTTGGCTAATACGACAGACAAAAGGGTAGACATGGGCTTGGCTAATACGACAGACAAAAGGGTAGACATGGGCTTAGCCAATACGACAGACAAAAGAGTAGACGTGGGCTTGGCTAATACGACAGACAAAACATGGTAATACACAGACAAAAGGGTAGACATGGGCTTAGCCAATACGACAGACAAAAGAGTAGACGTGGGTTTGGCTAACACGACAGTCAAAAGGCTGGACATGAGTTTGGCTTGCACAAGAGTCAAAAAGGTAGACGTATTTGGCTTGTACGTGAGTTAAATAGGTAAACGAATATATAATAAAGAGGTGTCCTCCTTTCGTTTTTTATCCTTCTTATCGAGTATGCTGCTGACGTTCTCTTCACTCCAACTGATAGGGCTGCTTTTCTGGAATCAGACTTATAGACTTTTTCCGCATTTATAGAAGAGTTTTAGAAGCTAATGTGCCGATAACAAACGATAAAGAAGCTTTCAGATTTATTTTGAAAATTAATAGTAATGAGGATTTTTCACAAATGATACAGCTCAACTCAGTAACATTGTCATAGATTTAGTCCAAGTGGTCAAATGTAGTCTTCTGTGTAGTTATCTCTTTAAGTCATCGTGAATGATTCTTACACACATAACATTACATGGAAAAGAAGACAATAATTATATAATGACATATTTTTTACCAATGATATAAGAAAAAGAAACTATAAAAAGATAGCGCGTATAATTAAAAGAAAATCACTCAATTTGATCTGACTGTCGTTTTTTTGCCGCTCAAAGAACTCCCTTAGGGTGGTTGCGTGACAGTCTCGCACCTTTTCCTCTTTCTTTTCAAATCTAGGTCCTCGCCTTTCCCAATCTTTAAGTTACTCTCTCTCTCTTTCTCTCTCTCTCTCCCTCTCTCTCTCCCTCTCCCTCTCCTTCTTGCTACCTTCACCCGTTGTCTTTCGGCCTTTTTCTCGCTTTCTGTATCTTCATAACTTCATCTTTCTCAATATTTATCTCTTTTGAGGAGGCACGGTGGAGTAATGGATAGCGGCTTGGATTGAGGAATCGGAGAGCCGAGTTCGAATTCCAGTCGAATCCATTAGATCCACTTACGTGCTAATACCCTTGGGAAAGGTGTGAATCCTCTCTCTTCTCCCTCCAGCTATGGGTAAATAGCAAGACAGACTGGGTTCTATAGCCTTAGATGGCAACTAGTCTAGGAGAAGGAAAACTCTGAATTCAAACCTGCTCTTAGAGGAGGGTGAATGGAGTCTCTCTGAGCCTTGGTTGGCAATCCATTTAGTGATGGTGTCACGATAAAAACACCCTTGATAGCCCTAGCGAAGCATCAAGAATTCAGCTATTTGACAAGATTATGAACTACACCAATCAAAAGTATTGGTGAGTTCAATCTCGGCTGAGGCCGCAAGATGATGATGATGATGATCTCTTTATTGTTATCTGTCTATCTTTCTGAGATGAGGCATTGTAATTATTTATACTATTTACATTGTTCGGACTGTTGTCCTCATCTTTGTTGCACGCTCCGGCCTTCTTCATATGATTGGAATTTCGAACTGAACCCTTTATTTCGTGATCAGAGTAGATTGTTCTAGTTCCACGTGCCATGACTCATCCGGATGTCTCAGTATCAGTTATCTCCCTTTTAACTCAACTCGCCAAGATATTGTTTCCCTCCGCTGTAGCCAGGTATTGAACTCACACCTTTTGGGTCAAGTCACTGAATTACTTCAACCAATGCTTTTATACTTGAGGATGTCCAAGCAAGCGAGAGATTTTGTCTTTATTTCTTCTCTCTCTCTCTCTCTCTCTCTCTCTCTCTCTCGCCATTTTTTATTTCTCGAATCTTATAGTATGTCCATCTCTCTATTTTTTCAGTGCTTCTCTTTTTCTCTAACACTTTATTCTTCTGTTACCCTATCGTCTTTTTCTCTTCTCTCTGTCTCCATCACTCTATCTCTTTCTGTATTTAACTCTTACATTCTCTACTTACATCATTCTATCGCTGTGCCGCCCTTTACCTCCATTGGTTTATCTCTCTCAATGCTTCATCTTCTCTCCCTCTCTCCCTCTCTCTCACATTTGATCTCTACTTCCTTCTCTCTCTCTCTCTCTCTCTCTCTCTCTTTTTCTCAGGTTATCTCACTGTATTTCCCATTCTCACTTTCACTGTACTTCCATTTCTCTATCTCACTCCACCTCCATCACATTTTATCTGCTAACTTTTCTCTCTCCCAACATACGCTCTCTTCTTCTATCACTATAAATCTCATTATGCTTATCTCTCTGAATTGTTTACTTCTACCGCTCTCTCATTCTGTTTCAGTTTTTTTTTCTCTTACTCTCTCCCTCTTTTTCTACTTCAATTTCCTCTGTCTCTCTCAGTGTTTCTCTCTTTCTTTCGCTTTTTTAGTTTCTGCCCGAGACTATCGGAATTTTTTCTTTGTGTTGTTGTTGCTTTGTTTTGTTTCCTTTTTCTACACAATACTCACAAATTTCCTTGTCTTTCTTATTTCCATTTCCTTTCAAAGATTTAAATCTCCGTTTTCCAAATTTCCGTCTTCTTAACAATAGTAATAAGAAACTGGGTCTTATTATTATTATTATTATTATTAGTAGTAGTAGTAGTAGTAGTAGTAGTAGTAGTAAGAACTTGTGTAGTAGAAGTACTATTAGTAATAGCAATTATAGTCGTAGTAATGAGGGAAATAATGGAAAGTGAAAAAAATTATTTTATTCCATCAACTCAGATTGTCATTGTTCACATTTTGCTTTCTTTTCTATTTTTCTCTTTCCCAATCTCATTTTTCTCATCTTTTCTTACAAATCTTCCTTCATTTTCTGATTATTTCTCTTTGCCTCTTTCTTTTTATCCACCTATCTTCCTTTCTTTCTTTCTTTCTTTCTTTCTTTCTTTCTGTTCATTTATTGTTCGTCTTATTTTAACATGGCTTATTTTCCTGTTATTCCTCTTATTTCTTTATTGTCCTTATTTCTTTTTTCTTTTTATTCTTTATTCTGTTCATTTACTGTTCTTTTCTTTTTTTCACTCTCTCTTTCATCATTCTTTACTGTTTCTTTTCTTTGTCGCTGTTGCCCTTCTTCTTCTTCTTCTTCTTCTTCTTCTTTTCTTCTCCTCCTCCTCCTTTTATTTATTTGGTTCCTATTTTTTCTTCTTCCTTTTCTTTTTCCTCTTTACTCTTTTCGTTTACCATTCTTTTTTATAAAATTTTCTTTTTCCACTCCTTCATCATCTGTTCTTCTACTGCTCTTTTCTTTCTTTCTTTCTTTCTTTCTTCATTCTTCATTACATCGTTTTCACCTGACTATAATTCGTATCGCCTTTCTTATCTTTGCTCTTAGATTGTTTTTCACTTTCTTTCTTTACGTAAAATGGTTCCATTATCGCTTCTCTTCGATTCTTTATTCTTTTTCTCCTTCACCTTCTTTTCAAACTTTTTTCTTTTCTTCTATCTTTTGTCTGTTCTTCCTATTTCCTTCTCTTCTGTCTTCGTTTGCTTCATTTTCCTCACCCCCAAACCAGTCAGCGCCTGCAGCAGTGCCTTCTATAAAGGCGACATCACCTCAGTAAAATATTCGAAAAGATGTAGAATAAATAAGTCGATGAAAAATTAACCACAAGAAAATCGCACACCAAAAGGAGAAGTATAAAACAGAAGCAAGAGAGAAACCAGAAAAAGAAACAAAAGATTGAAACACAAGAAGCCATTAAACGTAAATTCTAAAAAAATAAAAATAAAGAAAGAATGTAGCAACTAGAAAACAAAGATTATTTTTAAAAAAAACAAAAAGAATTGCTCGTACGCATAGAGACAAACTCATGGAAATACAGACACATGAATAGAACAACCAATTTGCTGAACAATACGAGTCTGAGCAGTTTTAAACAGAAGAGTCTCTTCTGTTAAAAGAACAAAAAAAAACGTAAAACAAAATTACGCAGATATAAACAAGACTTGGGTTAGGTCCACGCATGTGCACACATACATCTCAGGGCTCACGCATGCGTGTAGAGAAAAATAACCAACAAACATATTTAAATTAGAAAAAACAAGCAAACAAACAAACAAACGAGCGTTTAAAAGAATAAATAAATAACTTCAACTTGACGGAGGGAGGAATAGATTAAGTCAAGGCAGAAGGTTGCAAATCTGAACGGAGAGAGAAATGTTTGAAGAATGGCAATAGATAAAAATAAAATAAAACGAATAAGAAAATGAAAGATTTAAAAAAAAATTATTACTATTGAACAATTTAAAACATTCTTTCAGAGAAAGAAAATCAGAAGGAAAGAGAGTAACAGAGAAAAACAATAATGTATCCATGTATAATAATTCCACCCAGAGAAATATAGACACATAGGGTTGATATCAAAACTCGTGTCTTACTGATAAACACATAGAAACCCCCCCCCAAAAAAAAACACGACTAAATTTAAGAAATAGGACATTTCTATTTCTTGAAGAAATTTTCTGATACACTCTACACCACGCTCGATCTTGTTAAAACTACTTTGTTTATCAAGTTCGCTCTTTTCAACAGAATTCAAGCAAGAAAAAGTAATTATTATTATTTTTTTTTACAGTAATGTCCATCCTGTACAAGACCTGGGACGACTCAAATTAGAGAATTACGTTAAGGGGCAGTTTATATGGTTATGGGCGGAAGATAATGGTTAACTCTAGTTAACAGGTTATAGCGATCGAGGAAACATCCTCTTGGAAGTCTGTTCCACAGGGCAGTGATTTGCTGTTTGAGTGGAATATACTTCTCGACGATGGAATACGGATGAAATGTATGGGGTTGCTACAAAGTAAGTGACATGGCGGGTCCTTGCCGTGAATATTAGTCCTGACGCAATCAGGGATGTAGTTTATTCGAGCACTTTCCATGGTAGTACCAAGAGAGCAGTGAGAGACTCGCCACATCCCGCCAGAGAGAGAGAGAGAGAGAGTAGAAGATGGAAAATAATTATACTTCAACAAGGACTCGGAGACGCTTTTAAGCTCTATCAAGACTGGAAAGCAAGAACTGGGCAGCTCCCGCCCAAACATGGCAACAGTACTCCATTTTCAGCTTCCTTCGGTTCTTATAAAGGTAGATTTTACATTAGAACTTGGACTATTATCTTCATTTTTGTTGTTTTCATCACAAATTTCAGGCTGTTTTCTTCGTCCTTCATCCGGTACTTGCCGATCCGATTTCGAATTTAACACTTACTTTAAGCTACCGGGTAGATTCTTCTCGTTCTGCTGTTCATGATTAGGTATATATTGTATAGATCATATTTAGTACAGCTCAATCATTGCCCGCATTGTTTACACAGAGGGTAAGTTTATACTACCCGGACAAGGGATCGAACACACAATTACTATATCTCCAATTTACGAACAATAGTGGATTAAAAAAAAAATAAGTGTAAAATCCCAAGTGTAAATAACAAAATTTTAATATAAATAGTTATTGTTTGTTCAAGTTTTTACTTGCAGAATTTTATTAGTATTATTCCTTATGCCATATCCCTACAGGATATAAGCGTTTGTGGCTCTCCACAATTTCCTGTCCTCTGTAACTCAATAAATTTTGCCTTTTTGTTAACTCACCTAGAACTTGCTCCACAATCCATTTACTCAGGCTCGATAGGTAGGTCAGGTGTTGTTTTCCTCTGTCACTGTGTATAACGATAAACTACATCGGGCAGCAAGAACTTTGATCAGAAGATTGGAGGTTTTGAGAAGCGTGGAACCACGTCTTAACTGTTGTTATTCCCATGTTCACCCTGACCCGGGCTGGTAGCACCTGTAAGGGTCCCAGCTATGGACAAATACTGAACGCCCAAACAAAAATCAACAGTACGTTTTTATAGTAAAAATGCTCATAATAGATTTTTTTAGTAAAATTGCAAAAATTACACTTTTATAGTAAAATGACCAGCAATAGATCTTTATAAAAAACGACAATTAATACAAAAGTAAAAAATGTATAAATACATTTTTATATTAAAATTACCAGTAATACATTTTATAAATAATTACCAACAATACATTTTTGTAGCAAAATTACCAGCAACATATTTTTTTTTAAATTACCTACAATATATTTTATCATCTATAATCTATATATCTAAAAACTTCCGTTTACCTTGAAAGTGTAACATTATGAACAAAATATCTGTAGATGAAAAGATAATACTGCGTAAAAAAATGTTCAGATTTCGGCATATGAACACATGTTGATATGCCGCTAAGCAAAATCAACCAAATAATCTTTCCCTCTTGCCTTTAATCTGTTCTGTGAGCATCAAATTTTCCAGTCTTTCCTTCCTCATTACGTGCCCTAGAAAATTTCAACTATCTCTTCCTGACATTAAGTATAAGTGTCTTGTTTACATTTTCTCTAAAACTTCGTCGTTGCTCCCATGTTCGGTCTATTGTATTCTCAGCATCTTTCTGTAGTACCACATTTCTGTGGCATCAAGTCTCTTCTTCATCTATGAGGAGACTGTCCAGGATTTTTCTGTCATATAAGTGGACTGATATTTCATTACAATTCTTTACTCTTTTCTTTATTTCTAACGAAATTTTTACATTGTTTAAAAAATATTAATCCATTGATCTTTTTTCATTCTTTCGAGAATTGCCACTTTTCATTCTATGGTAAATGTAATTTATTTTTCTTTCAAAATATCTTTGTTATTTATAAATTCACCATTATATCCTCAGTGTCAGTAAATCAAAAAAGTTGAGATAACTTTCCATGGTACATAGTTGACTTATAAGGATATAATGAGTAAAGATTGTTTTCTTGATTTAAACAAAACTGTTCTCTTATTTATTTGAGATAACCCTTTCTGCCTTCCATCAGTATGGCTGATGCTAACCTCCCAAAAATTGACTCGTTGTGCCTTCTCGTGATAACGTTCTCTGCTGACGTGAAGTAAAAGGATTCTATTTAATCAGTTGCCATGTCTGCTTCTAGCAATATTAGTTCACTGAGTCGTGCTTGGCAATTTTCTCCTCCAGAATCTATTTTACATATTTATAAGTCTACCATTCGTCTATGTGTCGAATATTGGTGCCACATATGGTTTGGTGTTCCTGCTACATATTTAGAGATTCTTGATAAAATTCAAAGAAGAATCTCCTATGTTATTGGTCTTGACCTGGCATCCCGTCTTCAGTTCCTTTCCCACTACCATAACCTAGCTTCCCTCTGCGTTTTTCTACAGATACTTTCATGGTAATTGTTCTGATGAACTTTCCTTTAAGGTACCTAGACGTTATGAATTTAAGCGCAGTACTAGATTGGCAGCTAGGTCTAATCATTTTACAGTTGAATTGGCTAAGTTCTTTGCTAACAGTATCTTTTCTCGCATTTCTCGCTTTTTGAACTCTTTTCCGGCTTCTTGCTTTCTGGTCAACTTTGATCTTTCAAAATTTAAATGCAATGTCAATCGTTATCTCCTGTTTTCTTGGTTCCTCTTCTTTTATTGTTCTCGCGCCTTAATAATATTTTTCTTTTTTATTCTTTCTTTCTCAGTAAGCCCCTGTGACTTAGTGGCTTTATTGCCTTGCTTGGCATGAAATAGACTTAAAAAAATAAACATTTTGAAAGAAATATAACGTTGAGCAATGATAAAGGTATTCTCTGATATAAAAAAAATCTGCTCTAAAATATCAATTGCCATGCATAAAATAATCAGCTTTGTCTCGAATTTCTAGATACCAATTCTTCTTCATTTGCTACTATATATATATAATTATGTCACACATTATGAAATGGACAAAATCCGACAATTATTTTAAGACATTTTTATGTTTATACATTCTATTTATAGATACAAATATTTATGTAAATGTTCTGTTTATAATAAACAGTATTAAACAATATTTACCGGCCTGAATGTCCGAGAAATTTTCACAGAAAATATTTGACCTCCGACAGGATTCGAACCTGTATCCTATCCGGAACCGTCATTTAGCTTGACGTGCCTTTAATCGATTTGGCCACAGAGAGTCGTTCGCTTAGGATGGTCGCTTTTACTGTATTTAAACTTTAATCTTTCATGAATCTCTCACGTACATTCATATCTGCTCATGGCGTATGGAATGGAGAAAGTCCGACAATTATTTTAAGACATTTCTATATACATTCTTTTTAGAGATACAAATATTTAAGTAAATGCTCTGTTTATAACAATGTTCTT